CTTACAAACTATACAGAACACGCTTGTATTAAAATTATTATATTAATGCAATGGATGTTGTTGCTTGTCCTTACTATTATGCATTGTTATGATACTGTACATGAAGTCCTCCACCCCAGAACGATTCTGCCGTTCCGGTTTTGGGGTGTGACATCTTAGTTCATATGTACTCAATTATAAATACCACTTGGCCATTTTTTCTAACATCATTGGCTTTTTTATTACATTCTTAATTGGATAATTAGGTTTTACATAAATAGAATGAGTTTCAAAATAGTGACGTAACTTGGTTGAAGCACATATAAGAGATAAGATTAGTTTTCAAGATGTGAATACTTGGTCCCTGAATTCAAGAAACTCTTACTTACATAATATACTGGATGTTGAGCACCATCTTGTTCCTTTACCAAGACTACACTTGTTGCATTCTTGGATACAGTCAGACATTGGAACAAGGGTTCTCCATCTTTAGGTTTGGCTAACCATAGGGCTGAAGATAAGTAATTTTTAAGCTCTTGGAATACCTATTCATGCTCTATTATCCATTCGAACATTTTGTTATTTCTCAATATATCATAGAAAGGTTTGCATCTTTCAAATGCCTTAGAGATAAACCTATTTAGGTCTGCAACTCTACCTGTCAACCTTTGAATATCTTTGGTCGAGTTGGGGATTGAAGGTTCAAGATAGCCTTGATTTTCTTTGGACTAGCTTTAATTCCTCTTTTTGTCACCATGTAACCCAAGAATTTTCACGCCAAAATGGCATTTGGAATGGTTGAGCTTCATGTTGAACTTGTCCAAGATACTGAACGCTTCTTCAAGATCTTGAAGGTGGATCTCAGATTTCTTGGATTTCACTACCATGTTGTCTATATAGACTTTCATGGTCCTTCCAAGTTGTTCTTTGAACATTTTGTTGACAAGTATTTGATATGTTGAAAATGCATTCTTTAGTCTAAATGGCAATGCTATATAACAATAGATACATGTTGGGGTGATAAAAGTCGTATCTTCTTGGTCTGAAGATCCCATCTGGATTTGTTGAATCCTGATGAAGCATCCATGAAGGTAAGGATTTCATGACTTGCAGTGACATCAACCAATGAATCTACATGCAAATGAATTGATTTGAGTGTATTTAGTTTAGATTGTTTTGATTTGGAAACCTATACAGTGTAAATCTTTAACTAATTTGACAATTATTATGTGAAGATCTTAATATATGCTAGAGAGTAGTCAATTTCATTAGTTTATTAATGTTTTCTATTTACATGTTTACTTGAATGCCTTAATATTAATTTATTCAAATCTTCCACATTCGGTTATACTTCTAGAAGTAAGTAGTAACCCACACTCAGTACCAATTTAAGTGGATAATGTGTACAAAAATAAACCCTAGTTGATACCCACAAGTGAGGATTGGCCTCTCCCCCTTCCCCCCCCCCCCCCCAACTCTTTCTCGCTCTAAGGTTTTCTTTTCAATTCCCGGTTTTGGAGACCTAACTGCATTGTTTGATCATTTCCCAAAGATCCAACGGTCTAAATGTCTTGATTTGTCGATAGATGCTTCCTAACATCCACAATAACATTATGTATGGTTGGATTGTTGAGATAAGCTATGTAGGCTCCAAAAACTATAATTCTGTTTGCTGGACAACAACATTTTTCTGGGTTCGATTTTGGTCACAACAAAGAGAAGGACTTGTCGTTTTGCTTGGTCATCCAAGTAAAAAATCGACCACAAACAAAGAGGTATACATTTCAACCCTCTCTCTTTCTCTAGGGTCTTTAATTTTGTTGCATCTAGTCATGAACTTGTGTTTGTTTGTAAAAATTATCATATTCTAAAAAAAGGCCCTTCTATTTATAAAAATATCACCAGTTTGTTGTGATTAAGGGCATACTTCCAACAATTTTCCCATTTCAGATTGCAATTTAAGACTTAAGAAACAATACATTATAAGAATTAACAAGAATCATTTAGAACAATAGTGTTAGATATTTGCTTACTTCCTCCATGACCAATTCGTCAAAATCTTCTATTTATCAAAGATTGTGATGCCTTTTATAAATTTAAACAAAATAATCTTCTAAACATTTCGAAAATCGAAAAGGTAATAATACTATTGGTCAACGGCATTGGAGATTTTAGGTAATAAAATACGAAAAATCATGATCATATTTGAGTTTTAGTGTGTATTTAATCTTCTATAATTAATGTATTAATCAACTTGAGATATTATGTTTAGTTTTTTATTTTAAATATAGAGAGGGACCACTCCAACATATATATTTTTGGTAATAGAAGCTTTGACGGATGGAACTCAAGATCTACCCTGTGAGCTTCGACCTCTTAAATTGTTAGAATTTACCATCACATTAATGTATTATGTTAGTTACTTGGGTTTCTTGAAATATGTTGCTATATGTGTATATAAAAGATGATGCATAATTATTGTTTCAGATGTAGACTATTATTTGCAATGTCATTTTACAACATGATTTTAAGTTAGACCTATTGTCATTTCAATTTGTTTGCAAACAGTGTCTATTGAGAAAGCAACCGTACGCTTTTTTTTCTGAAATCATTTACGCCATGTGAACGCACAATGATTTTTTCTGAAATAGAAAGAAAAATAAAAGATGCTATAATAAAAAATAGATCAAATGTTAACATACAAAGTATGCTATAATAAAAATTAGTATAATGCTTATGGCTTTTTTCGAAATAGAATAAAAAGTATAATGCTATTTATTAAAAAGTAGGTGAATTTTTATTTTAGGCCATGTGGAAATACAACGCTATTTGCCAAAATGAAGCTGATATTCCAGATTTTTATTAGTACAATGTTTATTTTCTGAAATAGAATAAAAGTGGCTATGATTAAAAAAAAAAGGCTATTTGAAAGTACAATGCTATTCTTTTTCGAAAAAAGAAAAGAAAGTAGAAAACTATTTGGTGAAGTAGAATAAAAAGTAGTAATAGTGTATGTTATAACAAAAAGGTGAAATGTTTTTAGGCTATAAGAAAATCCCTGGTGCTTGGTGTGGGTATGCACTACCTACCTACTACACTACACAGGAGCGAGAGTAATATCAAAATATTGACCAATCTTATGTTGTGAAATCCAAAGTAGACATTCTCACATAAAAACCCAAGCTTGGAACAAGGGTGGGTAATTTAGTCTGGCCTATGTACATTACAAGGTAAAAATTTCTATATTGCATGAGGAAGATTTACAAATTTGTCATTGCCAGGAAATTCTTCAGGTCCATGGCTGAAAAATGTTCCAAGTTAGTAAAAAAATATAGATAAAAAATCTTTATATATTTGTTTATTACCTGAGGTTGCTTAGAGCAGACATCCTGTAGAGACAGCTAAACACTAGAACATGCAACCCGATCGTATAGAAAAATGCAAACGTTCGTGCGTATCTGCAAAATAATTATATATAAGGGTCAGAGAAATATATTTAAATTTTAAACTTGCATATTTCAAACGAGAACAATTATGGAATCAAGAACGCAAAAACAGGGTTTATCACATGTGAATGGCAGGGTTTAGTCGCATGTGAATTGCTTAATCACATGTGATTAATACATATAAAAAAAAATACTATCTCGATTTTAACGATAGTCTATGATAATTAAAAATTTTAAAATATTAGAAATTTTTTGTTGATAAAAATAGCATTCCAAAATGGATGGTGAAACAAGAGTAATAAATAGGGAAGGGAGGGGAGGGGGATACTTGTTGCCAAGAAGAAAACGGCCACTGGTGAGTGTAATTTTGTCACGTAAACCAAGCTCCTTGTAGCGTTGATCCTTTTCCTGAAAGAAAGAAAGAAAGAAAGATGGATAAAATAATAGGAATAGGAATAGGATAGGTAATGAAATGAAAAGGAAAACATATACCTTTTTGGAGAATGCTGCAAAAGGGTTTATATCATCTTCGTATATTTTCTTATACTTGGATTCGACATCCGAGCTAAAACCACTTTCAAGATCTTCAGCCGACTGCAGCCAAATGCAAATCACACAATAAATAATCTGTCTCCAGGCAGGCAGGAAGGCTGTGTTTGTTTGTTAGGACATAGGACTTGGGACTATCTCTATGTCTTTTTTTAGGAGGGACTAGGACTATTTTATATACTGAAACCTTTATTTTAGAATTTAGATGGATGTACCTTCCTTGATGCTCTAGAGACTACTTTCTCTAGATTATAATCCTGTACATATCGCATCTTTCCATACAGTTTCACATTATCTGCTTTCGTCTTCTCCAGTTCACTTGTCACCATCCCTATCCTCTCCTTCAATTGCCTTATTTCCTGTTAACAAATAATACTTACACTTAACTAAAGATTTGTTTGCTGAATGCTGATTGATTTTTATTATAATAAATTAACATATTGAGCTAATCTAACTGGGTAAAGTAGTGTAGAATTTGTAGCCATATTCAGTAAAAATGAATTTAAGTGTGTCATACCTCTTCAGTTTCACGCAAGCGTGCCCGAAAACGATCTCTTTGGTTACATATCACCTTAAGCATTGAATTTTGATCTTGGTCCGAGGAAACATTTTTTTTTTTATCTGCTGCTGCTGCATTCTATCAAAATCAAATAAAATCATTATCAACTGTTGTGTCAAAATTAACTTTCATATACTGTATTACTATTAAATATTAATTAATAACTGCTGCCAGCCAAACATGGAAGACAAGACCGCACTTATTTGCCAAACAAAAACTTTCAACTTATTGGGCTGGGTCAAATGCAAGCTTTGTTCATTGTTTTTTGAAATTTCAGCATTCTACTTGCAACTTCTTTTTCTTATCCTATTCCTAGCACTTAATTTTGTATTTGGTTGTGTATGTAATGAGAAGAAATCAAAGTATTTAAATAGTCTTTAACCCTATCCTAAACTTGCAAAAATATATTACCAGATTACTTTGAATTCTTTTCTTATTAGACACTGATGGACCAAATCAAAGCAGTGGAAAATGGTTTTGCATTTAGATGACATTGCTATAAATAAATAAATAAAATATACTCTGTAAGTTAACAACACTAAAGTTATTGTAATACGATACGAGTAGACTAGATATGACATGACATACACATACCTCCCCAGACTCTGAAAGATCCCAATCCTCAAAAATATTTCCTTTACGATCTTTGGAACTGTAGCCCTGCAAGTGAAGTGAAGAAGATATTTCCTTTAAGTCTTTTCCTTTTTGTTTCGTCTTCTCCTATTTACATACATACATAGTAATCCAATCCAACCAAAAAAGCAGTGTAGGTACAACAAGAGTGTCTAGTTCTGGGTTTAGAGTTTATGTTCTGAGCAGGCACACACCAAACCAAATCCAAATGAAGTGAATAATACTAAGGATAACAATTTCTAACCTTCAATATATCATCTTCTAACTTTTGGATAAGCTTTTGTTGCTCATTAATCTTTGAAGTAAGTTCTGAAATTTCCCTTTCACATGTTTCCACCATTGAAGTCTTTTCAGAGAGTTGGACCTAAACAAAAATTAATAAATATCATCTCATAACATTTGCTTCTTTCGCACAAGAATGAATGTGTTGGGAATGGTCTGGAATTCATTTTTTTCACCTTTAACTGTGTCAGTTGATGTTCCATGTTGCGGTTCTTATCAAGAAGCAGAGACTCAAGTTTGCTCATCTCCTCCCCACTGGTAGCAACCTCCCAATCTTCAGCCTCAATTGAGTTATAACCCACTGCCTACACATCCATCAAATATATTTATTATTATTATTATTATCTATATTGTCGACAGGAACAGGATGCATTAAACCAAACCAGGGAAGATAAAAGTGGACTCCATCACTTGTGATAAATAGACATATATATATGTAATTTCATACTTATAAATATAGGCCATGTTTGGAAATTTGGCATGCAATAGTCATGGTGGGTGGCAAAGGGTGTGTGTGAATGCCCGTTGTACGTTTGTTATATTTTTGGATGAGTAGGGCATGGCATTTGCGTCTTTTCCACACACAATAAAAAACAAACGGGGAGAGGGGATCTGTATGACCTGCAGAATTTTAACTTTCTTGCGCAGATCGTCAACTAATTTTTCAGTTGGCCTTTCCTGGAGCTGTTTCTTGATTTCCTGAAGAGCCACTTCCTGTTGATTAGAAAAAGAAGACAATCAATCATTCCCATTGAGATAAAAAATTAAACATAAACCCATGCCATTGGTAATTACTAAATACCAAACTTGCTACTTTTACTATCACATATTTATTACATTAGAATGTAGAGTAGTCAAGCCTTAATAAAAGATTGAAATAAAAATTTGCAACTTTACTTTACAAAATGGTAATGGTGTAATGGTAGCTTACCTTTTCATTGAGCATTGCATTGAGCTTCTTGATTTCGTTGATATGTTGTTGTCGCTCACTAGATAAGCTGCTTTCTATGTTGTGAAGTTCCGTATTTAGTTCAGAAATCATCTTTTCTTTCGCACTTAACGATTTCTCCAGGATGCTATTTGAATCACCATCATCACTACAATCACATACAAAACACAACTCATTCCTTCTTCATCAACAAAATATAACTCAAGATGGATGGAGGAGATTATATATGTAATTTAGGCCTTAAATGCAAGAAATAACTATCTGCTTTCATTCATTTCTGTATTACTTACATTTCTTTCTAGTTCCAACTTCTTTTTTCTTATATTCTACTTTGAAAAAAAATCTACCTAACTTTTCATTTTTTTTTTTCTTTAGCCCTAATATTATACTTTGAAAAATCTATCCTAGGATGCTATCAATGAGAGTAGGTTCATATTTCATGTCATGCATTCATTAGATCACCAAAGATGTTTAAAATAATAACACAAGTGAAATAAACTCAAGAAACAAAGGACAATAACTAAATGTTCTATACCTTCTCTTGGTATCATTGTCTTCATTTGCTGATTGCAGTTGCGAGCGTAGAACTCCCTGCACAATGTACAAATATCAATCATTCAGATTTGAACAAAATTAATTACTCCCAAGACAATCCATGAAAGTAAGTTGATATTTCTTGCTGACTGTAGTTGTTTAACATTTTCTCCCACACCAAAGTTAGTTCCAAGGCAATAAACTTCCATTGATTTGTTTATTCTACTTTCATTTAATCCTATTACAACTTTTAAAAAAATCTACAAAGTAGAACAATATCATTGCAATTCTCAATCCTATCTATGATTGGGTTGATTTTTCAAAATAGAATGTCCAGGTTGAACTTACAACACTATCTATAGCTAATACGAAACAGTTTACAAATAAAATGTTGCATTTAATTTAGCTCATGTGGAGAAATAGTATATGTATGAGCATGACTCACCTTCTCTCTCTCTAGACTGAGCAGGCGAGTCTGAGCCCTTTCAACTTCATCCATCAATAGATTTACCTCTGTCTGCTTAGCTGCTGTATCTTCCTCTGTAATGCATAAGTATTAAGCACAAGTAATGTTATAGGACAGACAGAAAATATGCTTGTAATTTTTATTCAGGGTTGTTCTAGTGAATCTAAATAATCTGTCATGTCTCTGGTTGACAGGAATGGAATGGAATGAATTCAATAGCTAATTTTTGTTTATTTCAATATATAACGAGGGTATTTTAGTCATTTAATAAAAAAGAAACAACAGAATTGAAATGAAATGAATAGAATTTGAAGAATGGTTCATTCCGTTCCATCAGGCAAAACAAAACTTTATTTTTGATTCCATTACTTCCTTGATTTTATCAAGCCAAAGACTACCTATGTAAAAATGAAAATGTGACCTGATTGGGCACGGTACTCGAACAATTTGCTTTGTGCAATTTCATGCAACTTTTGCATGTTAGAAACACTATCCTGAGCATGTCGTAACTGATCCTGCAAAAGTTGCTCCCTGCATCACAACAGAATTTCGATTTTTAATTAAAAATAAAAATAAAAAATGCTGCCGTACTTAAATATGTTACTATAATAACATACCAAAGACCACTTCATCGTGATTAAATTAGCAGATTCTGGTGGAACCTGATGGAACTGAAATTCCAGATTACATTCCATCACCAGATGGATTGGAATTCAATTCTTCAGATTCCACCATTCCTTCCAATTTTAAAAGGAATACAATTCCATTCATTCCCTTACTTTCAAACACCAAACTACCACCCACATTATCATTATGTACACACACACAAAACAAAAACAGATTTAATTAAAAATTAAAATCCAATTTATATATAATAAAATTAAAATATAAAAACATATTATGAACAAAATTAATGTCCTTCCATTTTGTGCCAACCAAACACGTGACATATTACAGTTTCTTCATAGCCCAACTCTTACCAAAGACATTACAAAAACCAAACGCCCCCTTAAGATAAAAAATAAAATACCTTTCTTTTAGAACCTCCAGCGTTTTCTGATTTTCTTCTGCTAAACTGCGTTGCTTCATCTCCACAATCTCTTTTACTTTTTCCTCCATCTAAGGACATATAAAAGTTAGGAAGCAAATTCAGCCTAACAACATTTTCAACTTCCTTAAATCTTGTCAAAGTCTTGCAACTATTTGGATGAAACAGCTGGAATGGAGTTACATTCATGATGGTTCCCTTTCTTTATTTGTTCATCTATCTATTAAATAGATAGAATCTGTATACGATTTTTTTTTTTTTTGAAAGAGTAGAATCAGTATAGGATTAGTTTGTGTAAAAGACAAAGTAGTAGTTGAAATCTGATTATACCGTTTTTGTATCGAAAATTGCAGATAGTGGATTTTAATAGCAAATATGAGATATCAAAATCTAGTATTTGAAACGTAAAATGCAATGCAGTAGAAAAAGGAATGATAGTGGGTAACCTGTTGCTCTAACTGGCGGGTCCGCTCCTCTAGTCGTCTTATTGTTGCTTGTTGGTTTTTAAGGTGAGTAGCTTCCGTTCTGAATTCCTCAAGTTCAACCTTCATCTTCCTGTTCTCTGACTCAACCTCCGATATTTTTAAATCTTTTTCCTGCATAAAAACTTACAATTAACCAGGAAACACCAACAAACAAGATTGCTCCATTTTATTTAACTCCCACACTGAATCCTTGTTCTCTCTTCTTTCATAAGACCAACTTGTTACCCCTAGTTCTATTTATAATAACATAGTAATAGCAACATTGATACCACGGTTCAAGTTCCACAAAAACGCAACCTAATTTCTCTAAAAAGTTCACACTTAAGGTTAATAATAATGATGTTTCAGGAATTTTAGTACCGTACGTAAATGAAATATATGTCTTTCGACCTCCACAAATCCAGTAAGTGAGAAACTATTTGAGATATATAATCTTCTTACATTGCAAACTCATTAACAAATAAAAAGTGAAAATACCAACCGATGCTACAACTGAACTGACTACTCTCATCAGGTTCACTGACATATACAAAATCACACTCCCGATCGTTTGAGTTTCAACGGATGGTTAAACAGGTACTAAGAGACAAATCAACTCATTCCCAAAAGGCGCTGATTCTGATTCTGGAGGCTTTAGGAGTAGTTGTGATAGACAGAATTTGGAGCACTGAAGGAAATGATTGAAAATTCTTTTATGAAAATATCTCTCCATTTTATCAAAATAAAGAAATGCGTACAATCATTCTTCTATTCACTTCTTTTAAGCTAGACTACAGTCTACAGCACAACACTTGTACATAAACACATCATTTATCCAACCATCACTTAATGGAAACATGGCCTCAAACAAAGCCTTGATTCATATTTACCTACTAAAAGCTACCTTCCTTTCCTGTATTACTAATCAATGCCGCATACAACAGACTAGTCACCCTTTACCACTTCTTCCTAAGTACAGTCTGATGCAAACTGCAGTTATCCTGCTTTTCTATCTTTTTCTCTACATTTCTAAAGGACCAACTATTGTAGGTGTCTAGATATCTGCCTTTTCCCATTAGAGCTATGACAAATTTAATGTGAACATGCAGTTTAAAGGATGAAAACACTAAAATCTGCCAAGCGCTTATTGTCTACGCACACCCAAATATATATATATATATATATATATATATATATATATATATATATATATATATATATATATATTTAAAAGTGACTCTTCAGAAAGAAAAGAGTATTCAAAAGACCAGACGAGGTTTTTTTATTATTCATAACTATCGCATGTTTTAACAATTCTAAAAGCACACCGCAGGCTATTTGTTATAAAAGGTGATTGTACTTACAGCAACTGAAGCAACAACAGGATAAGGATCTGGAGCCTCATAAAGTTTCTGGTATATATTAAGGAAAGCATTTTCTCCAAATTTCGCCCTCTTAGTAAGATTGTCAACCTCCTCTTGGTATCCCCTGAGTAAAGAAGTGAACAGGTTGGACTTTTCTTCAGCTGGCGCTTTCTTGAAATCTATCACCAAGTAACAGAAAGGCTCAAATACACATACATGAACATGATGCCTTGCTACTGTACTAACAGAGTCAGATAGATTCTATACTTGTTTACAATCCAAATAGGTGCATTCACAAAGTTGTTATTAGAATTATGCAATAATGGGTAACTGATTCTGCACCGTTCTTGTTATAGGCATGTTAAGTACCTCGGGTGCTCTCTGCGAGCTTCCTGCGGTTCTTCTGGCTGTTTTCCTGATTTTCAGCAATTCTAAGTCCTTGTTCATCTAATGTACTCCTTTCCTTCTCCAAATCAAACTCTGTATATATATGAGAATTTGAAACAATTAGAATTAGTTCCTAAATATAAGTAAATTTCCTCCAACTGAACAAGGAAAATTTCATCATTGCCGCAATGATTTTCCACTAGAAAATAATAATTACAAGATACCAAGCTCATCATATTTGAAGCTATTATAGTAAATCAAAACTCAAAGTAACTAACTACTAAACTAAGAACAACAGAAAAGACTGAAAGACATCAGTGCTATAAACAGATGAGAGTGAGATCAATGTAGCAAGGGCCTCCCCTTTCAGTTCAAGTCTCACTCATTTGCCTCAAAAACTATAATAAAAAAATATATATAACAGAACAAACAAGGACGAAAGAAGGCACCAATCACATCATTTCATGCAACAATGTGTGGGGAATTACTAGCAGTGTCTTATTGCCTTTGCAATGCTTAAGCTCATAGCACCGGAGACTCCAACAAAACCCAGATGATCCATAATCAAGAAAATTATTAATGGAGAAAAAAATCTAACTTTTTTTGTAGAGCTCTTACTTAATGCTATACAATACAATCATCCAATAAGATAACGTTGAATAGCTTTTCAGAACTTCATCCTGTTCAGAACTATTCTCGAGAGGGAGAAGAGGGTCATAAGAGTCGTTGCCAGTAACCCAAATGCACCTTAGCAAGCATAAATTCTATTCATTGAAGGGTAAATACTAATATTAGCTACTTGTTTTTTTAATGATCAAGCCATTCATCCAGTGCTTGTAAGAAACTACATCTAGTAATCACCATTTACGTACCAAGAACTTCATTGAAACGTAAAGGATTAAAAATCACGATCTGTAAATTTTACAGAAGAACAAATAAATGAAACTCAATTGAGAGAAATGGAACATAGTAAACCTCTCCAGAAATTAGCAACAGACGGAATCGGTGCGGAAGTTGACGAAGGCTTTGATTTATCTCTTTCTAATCCGCTTTGAGATGCCTCCATTGATTATTAGTATTGCTCGATCTAGAAAACAATGATAATAGGGTTTATCCTATACCCAATCTCCTTATGCAAATCTCAAAATCTCTAACCCACTTCAATCAATTCTATTTCAGACGAGAAGCATCCTCGCAGTCTGCAATTGATTTCCAGAGCGTAAAACTTTTAGATCAAGTCCGGTTTTTGGTAGATCTCGGTAGTGTGCGTTTGCTTCAAAACTGGATGCGTATGGTTAGTATCTTTGACGTTGTGAACACATTTTATGCCCTTTCTCTTAAAACTCATCTAACCTTTTCCATTTATTAAAGGGAAATCTTCTTTAAATTTTTACTTGTAAAGTCTCAAAAAATAAATTATTTATGAAAAAATAAATTAAATATTCTTTTATATTTTTTTCTTCTATCATCTTTCTATATATTTAAGATTATGACATTTGTTATATTTAATATTTAATAAAATTAATAATTATACTTCTTATCATCTAAAAATGATAGAAAGATGGGTAAGAAGAATAAGTATGAGACTATTTAATGTTTCTTACGAAAAAATATGAATTATCGGTAAAAATGACGATTTGACCTTTTTTCCTGGTTATCGGTTTCATTCTTGACTTGGATGCATTTAAGTCTCATTATTTACCTTAATTTCCGAATAAGTCTCAAAATAAAATTTGCTAACAAAAATGCATGAATTATAGGTAAAATTGATGATTTGACAATTTTCTCCCTTAAACATATTTTATCGGTTTTATTGTTGACCTGGATATCTAATCATTAAATGAACTGGTGAGATGGATATGACATGTTATATAATTCTACATTTACCATAAAACTTAATATTCATCTCATCAACTCATTTAATGAGTAGGCGTCTACGTTAGCAATGAAACCAATAAAAAGGGCGGGAATGAGCTAAAGAGATGGATATGGTGGGTTACATAAAATATAGTGAGACAATTGAAATTTATTATAAACTTCAAGAATAATGAAGTTGTTACTAGTTTATGTAATTATTATAGTCTTCGTTGGATGCATTTCATATTCAAAAAAATATACAATGTGACACAATATCAAATTTTACAGTACACGTAGCATTATATAATCTAATGTAGCGTCCCAAAAATTATAAAGATATTTTCATTTTTAAAATAGATTAACCAACTAAAACCTTTTACATAAATTCGATAAGTGCCATTCATTCATTTGAAATCATAAAGAGTATAGAGTTGGATTGCAAAACAGCAAAAACAATTATCTTTGATGCGTGTGTACAGTCTCGCCGATCTCTTCTTACGAACAACCTGCAAAACATTTTATCCACAACTATAAGCATAAAGCATAATGAGTTCCCCAATATGCTACATATTTCACCATACATACAATGCATCCACATAAGCAAACTCCTCAGTCCTAGCGTCGAACAATCAAACCTCATATCCATATACATATAACATATATAATGGGCCCAACCCAATCATACATAACGGGCCCAGCCCAACCATACATAACGGGCCATCCCGACCATAAATAACAACCTGGCCCAACCATACATAACGTCCCAACTGACCATAAATAATGGGCTCAGCCCAACCATACATAACGGGCCCAACCCACACTCCATTTTTAGGGGCTACATCTTGGTCTTTCGTATAATTGTTAGGGGCCAAATCCTGGTCTTTCATGCATTACATAAAAGTCATATAAAGCGAGAGATCAGATAGACAATCGAACAGATGATCCACCCAAAAGCGAACAATTAGAAAAAAACATCGCAATAAGGCATTAGACCAAGAGTGCTCAGGCTATCCAACTTAAACTACATAGAACCAATTTTATCATTACCATATAATCATGTAACATAAACACACAACATATACTTGTATATCCTTGATAACTAGTCTTCCCTAGTTTCCCTGTCATTGACCACTTCTCAACTAAATCCTTCGTTGGTCAATCATACATAATTCTGATAACTTGCATTCCTCAGTTACTCTACTAAACATAAATCCTAACAGTATTATACGATCAACAAGCAAGACCCTACCAGTCTAGCATACCAAGACACCAAGTGTTCTAAACTACACATGCATAGCAAGGAGTTATCCTGTAACACCGTAAATTTCAAACAAAATTTTCATTTTAAAACCTCATAATTCTCATTAACACATTTCACAAAAACCCCCAAAGTATCAAATTATCCAAAAACACATATCCATAAATTATTGAATGAAAATCCAGGATCCTCAAAACATAACTCCATCTCGTGTGTACAATCAAGCTGGCGCCTTCCCGCAATCCTGAGAAGTACCTGAAACTAATATCACATAACACAGTAAGCACAAAGCTTAGTGAGTTCCCCAAAATACCACACATATCTCATTAGCCTCTCATGGCTATATCTCAAATAAGACCCTTCGGTCAATGTGTCTCAGTGGAACCCTCTGGTCCCACAACTCGGGTGGACCCTCCGGTCCTAACTCAGTAAAGCTCAGCATAATACACAGCATAAATCACAAAGACATAATGCAGGATATCACAATACTCAATATAAGCACACAAGACCCTTCGGTCACACAATATTACCACTCAAGGTAAGTATAGTGAGAAGACTCACCTCGGATGCTGAACAACTCCTATAGATGTTGCTGCTGCACACCGGCCTCTAACACTGATCCAAAACCCACAATTAACCCAATTAAGATCTAAGACCAAACCTCACTCATTAGGTCTAAAGATAGTCCACTACCCGACCACAATTAACTCAAGCTCATTGGGCCCACCAAGGCCCAATACTAAATGGGCTCTCCCAAGACCCAACTCTTAAACTAATGGCAAGTCCAACACAAAGGCCCAAGACATATACAATATTTCTCTGATCAAAATCTCCAGTACAACAAGCCCAAAATCCAGGCCCAACACTTAAGGCCCAATATGAGATTTAGCCCAAAAGCCTACAGCGAGATTATGTGGGGTGTACCTCCCTTGGTACACTCGGCGTACACACAAACCCTGATCGGGGACACTTGACCAGTACGCGGGGCGTACTGGATTCACGCTCGGCGTACGTCCAGACTTGCTTTTTCCCACTCTCTTGGTCTTAACCCGTTAAGACCATAGCTATACTCTCAGATCTGGACTCCCTAAAGGCTCATACTCCATAAAGTTCATGACTTTAAGCCTTTGCATGGCTGATAAAGTCCCAAACCCATATACACTCACTCTTTACTCCCAAAAATGCTCATATCTCATACATGGGGTGACTTTAACTGTTGGATAAAGTGTATAAGTCCATAACTATTTTTGGTATGTACTTGACCCGATTGGCATGGTCCATTTGGGTTGCATGGCATTGCAATACTTGGATAGACCAAA